CGGAGGGTGTTGGTCACTCAGCTGGGAGGAGCAGGAGTTCGATGGCAAGGGTGGCTTACACAGAAGGAAAAACTCCCCTGAGGAGTTGTTTAGGACAGTGTTTTTCAACCTTTTTTGGGCAAAGGCACACTTGTTTCATGAAAAAAATCACGAGGCACACCACCATTAGAAAATGTTAAAAAATTTAACTCTGTGCCTATATTGACTATATATAAAGTAATTCTCTTGAGTAGGAATCAAATAAACACAAAGAAAGTATTTTATAATTACTTTATTATGAAATATTAAGTAAACAAAATAGTGAAAAATTATAAAATTCTTGTCTTGTCTGCACCTACGGCACACCCCGCGGAACAGCGGTTGAAAAACGCTGGTTTAGGAGCCACCTCAGATGGGATGGACTTAGAAGAGTCCAGGATCATTGATTGGAATGACTTGAGAAGTTTGTCTGCAGAGAAGGGCCGTAGCCAATTTGGCTCAATGAATAGAGGGATCAATGGGCCCTGGGTTCGATTCTGGTCAAGGGCATGTACCTTGACTGCAGGCTCCTCCCCAGCCCGGGTCCCTGGCTGGGTACGTGCAGGAGGCAACCAGTCGAAGTGTTTTTCTCACATGGATGTTTCTCCCTGTCTTTCCCTCTCTCTCCGACTCTCTCTAAAAGACCAATGGAAACATATCCTCGGTTGAGGTTTAACAGTGATTTAGTGTTGACCTAAGAACCAGGGGCAGATGGGGCCGGGCACCCAGATGAAGAGCTGAGAGGTGACTCCAGGTGGAGAGTGACAAGCAAGAGGGCAAGGGCAGGGGCCCGGTAGGGGGTGTGCTGGAGGGGCAGGCTGAGAGCCAGGGTGACAGTGTGCTCAGGATCATGGCTGCAGAGCTCCTGACTTGCGGCTCCTTGGTCACCAGACCTTGGGGAATTTTTACTCAAGCTTTTTCTCTTTCTAAAAAGTATATGTTTTAATTATAGTTGACACACACTATTAGATTCAGGTGTATGCAAAGTGATTAGATATTTTTAGGTACCTTGTGCTTTTCTTGGTAAGTCTAGGACCTGGCACCATTCACAGTGATGATATTTTGACTGTATTCCCTAGGCTGTACTTTACATCCATAGGATTATTTTTATAATGGGCAATTTGTGCTTCTTAATCCCCTTGATCTTTTCACCCATCCCTCCACCGATCTGGCAACCATCAGTTTTCTCTGTGTCTATGAGGTTTTTTTCTATTTTGTTTGTGTTTTATATTCTGCATGTAAGTGAAATTACACGGTTTTTCTATTTCTCGGACTTATTTCACTTAGCATAATACACTCTAGGTCCATCCATGCTGTCACAAATGACAAAATTTCCTTCTTTTTCATAGCCAAGTAATATTCTGTTTGTAGATATATAATGTGCCACAGTTTTTATTTATTTTTTTATTATTTTTTATTTATAAATTTTATTGATTTTGTACAGAGAGGAAGGGAGAGAGATAGAGAGTTAGAAACATCGATGAGAGAGAGAGTAATCGATCAGCTGCCTCTTGCACACCCCCCACTGGGAATATGCCCGCAACCAAGGTACATGCCCTTGACCGGAATCGAACCCGGGACCTTTCAGTCCCCAAGCCGACGCTCTATCCATTGAGCCAAACCGGTTTCGGCTGTGCCACAGTTTTTAAATCTACTCATCCATTGATGGACACTTGGGTTGCTTCCATATCTTAGTTATTGTAAATAATACTGCCGTGAACATGAGAGTGAATGCATTCTTTCAAATTAGTGTTTCGAGTTTCTATGGATAAAATCTCCCGAAGTGGAATCATTGGGTCATAAGACAGCTCCATTTTAAATTTCTTGAGGTAACTCCACACAGCTGTCCGCAGTGACTGCACTCATCAGCATTATCACCAACAGGGCAATAGGGTTCCTTTGGGAACAGTGCTTGAACTAACTGAGCCAGGGCTCTATGTATTTTTCTATTGGATTTTCTTTTTTTATGTTGAGCTGTTTGAGTTCTTTATATATATATTGGATATTAACCCCTTATCGGATATATCTTTTATAAATGTCTTCTTCCATTTATAAGTTGCCTTTTTGTTTTGTTGATGGTTTCCTTTCAGCACAAAAGCTTTATAGTTTAATATACTTCCATTTGCTTATTTTTGTTTCTGTTTCCCTTGCCTTAGAACACATATCTAAAAATGATTGGTAGGCCCTAGCTGGTTTGGCTTAGTGGATAGAGCATTGGCCTGCAGACTGAAGGGCCCTGGGTTCGATTCCGGTTAGGGCCACATGCCTGGGTTGCAGGCTTGATCCCCGGTGGGGGACGTACAGGAGGCAGCTGAACAATGATTCTCTCTCATCATTGATGTTTCCATCTTTCCCTCTCCCTTCCTCTCTGAAAAAAAAATTTTTTTTAATGATTGGTAGGACCTGGCTGGGTAGCTCAGTTGGTTGGAGCATTGTTTTATACATTAAACAGTTGCGGGTTCGATCCCTGGTTGGCGCATTTATGGAGGCAACTGATCGATTTTCTTTCACATCCATTTCTGTGTGTGTGTGTGTGTGTGTGTGTGTGTGTGTGTGTGTCTTCTCTAAGATCAATAAACATATCTTTGGGTGAGAATTTTTTTTAAATAAATAAATGAAAGTTATTGGTAAGACCAATGTCAAAAAGTGTATTGCCGCCGAAACCGGTTTGGCTCAGTGTAGAGTGTCAGTCTGCGGACTGAAAGGTCCCAGGTTCGATTCTGGTCAAGGGCATGTACATTGGTTGCAGGCACATCCCCGGTAGGGGGTGTGCAAGAGGCAGCTGGTCGATGTTTTTCTCTCATCGACATTTCTCGCTCTCTATCTCTCTCCCTTCCTCTCTAAAAAATCAATAAAATATATTTAAAAATAAATAAATAAATAAAAATAAAATATATATATTTTTAAAAGTGTATTGTCTATGTTTTCTTGTACAAGTGGTATGATTTTAGATCTTCCCTTTTCTTTTTCTCTCTTCTTTTTTTTTTTCATTTAAGTCTTTTATTCAGTGTGAGTTTATTTTTGCATATGGAGTTAGAAAGGGGCCTAGTTTCATTTTTTTTGCACCTATCTGTCCAGTTTTTCCCATCACCATTTATTGAAGAGACTGTCTTCACCTTTTGTATATATTCCTGCCTTGTTTGTCATGGCTTGACCAGATAAGCAAGGTTTTATTTCTGGACTGTCAGTTCTCTTATTCTGCCCCAAACATTTTGGTACCTCCAGAATGTCTTGAGGGAGGGTGCATGTGGGACGACACTCGTCTTTCAGCGAGTCCTTTCCTGCCCTGGATATTCTCATATCCTCCTTGTTACCATCCCCCACACACATATTATGAAATTGACAGATACTTCCTTATAATATTTCATATTGTGCAAAAACCTTTTTTTTTTAAACCAGTTCTTGTTTCATTGTTTGGGAACTGTACAGTTTTTCTTTTATTACTTTTTTTTTTTTAATCACTTGATGTTTTATCGGAATATTTTATATATTTTTTTAAATTGTCTTCAGAGATGAAGGGAGATAGAAACATCAGTGATGAGAGAAAATCATTGATCAGTTGCCTCCTGCACGCATCATACTGGGGTTGAGCCCACAACCCGGGCATATGCTTGTGGAGAGTGGCCACAGCGTTTGGACAGGTTTAAGCCTCAGACTAATGAGAGGGCACAGTCCTCTCATGGCCACGTGCAAATCCTAACTTGGAGGGCAAAACTACTTCCAGCACAGTTATAGCCAAAGGCTATGGTTGTCAGCTTGAACCTGTTGTCCGGATACGTGGTCCCACGTGGCTGAGTGATGTAGGGTTGGTAGAGTTCAGGTGCATGTAATTTGAGTAGATTTGAAACCAACCAGAATGTTGTAAACATCTTGACCAGGCCCTTACTTTGCCTCCTCGAATCTGGCTATAAAATAAAGACACGGCTTTCAGGCTATGGCGCTGTTGCTAGCTCTCCATCAGAGAGGACAGCGCCCCACCCAGACCCAGCTTTTTTCTCTTGTATGTCTTTTCTCAATCCTTCACCACCTCCTCTCAGGCTCACCGAACCTGGCTAAGCTGGCTTGGCAATATGGCACTGGATGTTGGGCTGAGTATGCCATGGTCATGCCCTGACCGGGAATCGAACCATGACCTCCTGGTTCATAGATAAACGCTTAATCCCTGAGCCACACCAACCAGACTCATTGCAATATATATTTTTTTAAATATAGATTTTATTGATTTTTTACAGAGGGGAAGAGAGAGGGATAGAGAGTTAGAAACATTGATGAGAGGGAATCATCGATCAGCTGCCTCTTGCACACCCCCTACTGGGGATGTGCCAGCAACCAAGGTCTATGCCCTTGACGGGAATCGAACCCAGGACCTTTCAGTCCACAGGTTGACATTCTATCCACTGAGCCAAACTGGTTTCAGCTCATTGCAATATTTTTAAATTATGCAAATGGCCCTAGCTGGTTTGGCTCAATGGGTAGAGCATTGGCCTTTGGACTGAAGGGTCCCCAGTTCAATTTCTGCCAAGGGCACATGCCCGGGTTGCAGGCCTGAACCCCACCCAGTGTGGGGCATACAGAAGGCAGCCCATCAATGATTTCTTTCATCGATGTTTCTCTCCCTCTCCCTTCTCTGAAATCAAAAAAAATATTTTTTTAAAAAATTTATACAGTTTTGACACCCTGCCTTTACCTCTCCCATTCATTCTCTTGAAATGACAGGGGGGGAGAAAACTGGCCTGAGGGGAAACGATGTATCTGAAATCACAGTTCAGACATCCTAGCAGGTGCCTGAGCATTTCCCTTTAGACTGGGGGCAGCTCAGGACCATCCCCAGCCCAGACCTGAGCAAGCTGGACCCCCTTCCCCACTGGAAAGCCAGCGTGGCCACCTGGGCTGACCTCAGAGCCCTGCCTCTCTGCTCCACAGGCCCGAAGGAAATGCCCCTCAGCTGGAGCATTCCTCTCCCTTTTGGGGGTGGGAGGGCTTGAGGGTGTGGGGGTACTGAGGAGGGGCTGACTCCCTGATTGTGCCTCCACCACCAGCACTGCCCCCTGTGGACGGCCACCCTCTATGAGCCAGCTTCTTCAGGTCTGAGGAGGAAATGGAAGTGTGTGCTCAGCCAACCCCATCTCAGGTGAGTCAAAGACCTTTGCTATGTCTGCCTCCCTGTCTCCTCAGCTGTAAAGTGGGTCCAGGAATAGAGCCCACAGTGCTACCTTATCCCTGTGGGTGAGACCCCTGGGTTCCCTGCAGTTACAGCTCCTTAGGGCCTCCTGTACCTGGTGCCCTGGGACAGGCCTCTCCCCCTCGTGTCCTGTGAGATGTCCAGAGTGGGGTGCTGCCTTCGAGGTCACGTCAGAACCATGTGGATGCTCTGGACACCATCTCCAGCTCACACCTGCGAAGTTCAGGGACTCATTTAGGAATCTGGCTACTCGGTTGTGAAGCTGACATGCCACATCAGGCCTGGCACCCAGGGCCGGGGAGCATGGCCCCTCACCTGCCAGCCTGCCTTGAATGGCTGCTCTGCCAGTGTTTTCTGTAAAGGACCAGGCGGTGGGAACTGCCTTAGGCTCTGCAGGCCACATATGCTCTCTCCCCATGTTCTTTTTGTATATGGCCTTTGTGGGGGGGGGGGGGGGACAAAAAACTGTAAAACCTATTTTTAGCTGTAATAGGTCTACTGCAGCTGCTGTAACAAAATAGCACGCTCTGTGTGGCTCAGACAGCATTCATTTTCTCATGGTTCTGAAACAATCTGAGACCAAGTGCCAGCAGGGTTGGTTTCATGAGGACTCTACCTCGCTTGCTAATAGTGCCTTCTCTGTGTCCGCAGTGGTGGAGAAAGAAGTCTCTGGTGGTCTCCTTTTGAGGGCACCAATCCCACTGCATTAGGGCTCTGCCCTTGGAACCCCCAGTAACACTATTTTCATAAAGGCCCTCTCCCCAAATGCAGGCACATGGTGGGTTAGGACTCCAACATGTGAATTTGGGGAGAACAACTTAGCTCATGGCATTAGCCTTCTGAAAGCACACACAGTCTTGGCATGTCTGCCAGGCTGTGTTTTGCTCATTCCTGATTTTAAACATCCTCTTTGAGTGCCTTTAAGTCTGTGATTTTGTAGAAAAGTAGGGAATGGGGTTCCCACTGTTTCCTGGGATAAGAAAGTCAGAATCACTGGTGTGATCAGCAACAGATAGGCCCTCAGAAGTGAGGATGTCATGGACTGCATTGGTGTCTGATCAGTGCACTGCCCAGAGGCGGGAACCATGTGGATGCTCTGGACACCATTTCCAGCCCACACCGCCTCCCTCCCTCCCTCCGCTGTCCTGGCCTCCTCCACCTTCCTTTGGGGAGGCGGGGTCCCATGGTAAAATACGGCCCCATGGTAACACAGGTGATGTTTTTCAGCTACCTGTGAGCTTCAAGGATGTGGTGGTGAGCTTCACACGTGAGGAGTGGGCACGGCTGGACCTGGTGCAGAGGACACTGTTCCGCGACGTGACTCTGGAGACATGTGACCACCTTGTCTCTCTGGGTAAGTTGGGCTCTACCCATCACCTGGGCTTTCTGCCCTAGGACTCCAAGCTCTGGCACCAAGGGTGTGCTGGTGCTGGGGTGAAGCATCCCCAGAGTGGGTCGCTGTGTGTGTGTGTGTGTGTGTGTGTGTGTGTGTGTGTGTGTTTGCTTGCAAATAATAAAACCTAAACTTTATAAGGTCCACAGGTAATTGTCATTTTTTATAGTACAGAGAACCTCTTTCTAATACAAAGAACTGATAATCCTTTCTCTGAAGAAGAAACTTATATAGAGACTAGAACACCTTATATTTTGTAAAATTACAGAATATATACATAGATTGTTATCACTGGCCAGATTATTATGCCCCACCCCATCAGTACAATGAAGTGAATTAGTTGTGCAAATAATAATAATAAAACCTTGAAAGTATTTGCTTAGGAAGTTTTCAATATTTAGTATTTTTGGATGTGTCAATGAAGTATTGATGGGGCAGTCATAATAATCTGGCCACTCAGTGTATATATTTGTTTGTTTGTTTGTTTCTCCTTCACCTTAAATTGTCCCCTGGTGCCTTTAAGAGCTAGCCCTATATTCTGTACAGAAATGGGTCCCTTTTAAATGCAGATCCTGGGAATTGCCCTTTGGTCATCTTCCACTGCATGTTTGTGATTTATTTCCCAGGAATGGCTCCCGGGCCCTCCTAGTCCATCTCTGTCTGACCCCAGGGGAGAGGGCTGGGCCTGGAATACAATCTTTGTCTGGAAGCAGAGCATCAAGTACTATGTTTTTCTCTATTGACCAGGACTTCTGCTCCCCACTGTGGATGTGATCTCCTGCCTGCAGCGAGGTGCTGGCCCATGGAGGGCAGAGCAGGAACCACCTCCCCGAGGTGAGAGCCTTTAGTGAGCTTGGACAGAGGAGGAGGGAGGCCGTTTGTGGGAGCTTCCTCGCCATCCACTCCTGCCTCCCCATGTCCAGCCAGACAGCCATGTTCTCATCCCCGGGCCCAGCCCAGTGAAAACACTCGCTACTGTCCTCTGCACATTTCTCAGGCCAGGGTTTATTTCTGTTCCCGTTTTTGCTTTCTTCTTTACCCTTCAGCCACCTTGTCTTGTTCCCAGGTCCTCCTGACCTCGAGTTTTCACCAGCTCCTCATCATATCTTCCACCTGGGAAAGCACTCCTCAGGTCTTCTTTCAGTTTCTCTCTCATCAGTTATGTTTCTGTCTCTCTCTCCCTCTCCCTTCCTGTCTCTAAAATCAATAAAAATATATTTGAGCCCTGGCCATTTGGCTCAGTGGATAGAGCATCAGCTTGTGGACTGAAGGGTCTTGGGTTCAATTTTAGTCAAGGGCATGTACCTTGATTGCAGGCTTCTCCCCAGCCTGCGCCCTGTTCCAGACTCATGCAGAAGACAACCAATCAATGTTACTCTTACATCGATATTTCTCTCTGTCTTTCCCTCTTTCTTCCACTTGATCTAAAAATATATATATATATATATATATATATATATATATATATATATATATATATCTCAATGGAAAAATATCCTCATGATGGGATTAATTAATTAAAAACATATTAAAAAATAAATAAGGTATCATATTCACAGGTCCCAGCAACTGGGGATCAATATCTTTTGTGCTTATTGAAGACCATGTATCCTCAGACTCAGCTCCTTCAGTACATTTCTCCCTTAATACATTCTTGTGCTTATTCTTTTTAAAAATATATATTTTTATTGATTTCAGAGAGGAAAGGAGGAGAGAGAGAGAAACATCTTATTTCCCTGCTCCTCTTTGGGCATCAGCTCTCATTCAACTCTTCATTACCTTTGCTTGGTTTTTTGTGCTTCTTCACTGATTTTCTATGTGCTAGTCCATCCCGTTCTTTTAGATCCTGCATGGAATTATAGTTCATGGACTCTAAACAAACACCGAGACACCTCTCATACTTGGTTTTTCCTTCATTCTTCTCTCCCATCTCAGGATTTCGCAGTAATTGAAGCATTTTGGATTTCTTTCAGAGTGGAAGACTACACTTGAAAAGAAAGAGTCCAGTTCTGAAGAGGATATTGGTGTGGAAGAACCATCTTTCCGTGTGGAAATGAAATGCTGTCCAGGGGGCCCCTGGTCTGAGTCCGTAGGAAAAATACAGGATTGGAGGGACCAGCCGGAGGAGTCTTTGAGTCAGATTGTACCTACCTCAGGGGAGAATGTGTTTGCTAAAGAGGAACATTGTGAGCATGACCTTGGCGGAAGTTATCTGAGTGAAAGCCTTCTACCTCTGACATTACCCACAAGAACACATTTGCACAAGCGTGGCTCACAGTTCAAAGGGTTGAAACAGAACTCAGTTTTCATTAATCCTCAGAAAGGCGGTGCCCGTCTGCAGCCCTGTGAAAACCTTGGAAGCACCAGGGCTTTCTCTGAGAACATTCACTTGAATAAACTTGCAAATGTTAAAACGGGAAATAATAAGCCTTGTGATCTCACGGTCCACAGTGACTCTCTCCACGGTGGCACATCTGTTCGTTTCCAGAGTAGAAGTTTTCCAGTAGAGAAGAGAAATTACTGTAAGGACAATGGAAATGTTAAGCACAGCGTGTCCCTGAATGGAAACAAGCCAATGCATTTGGAAGAAAGTCAGTACACATGTGACAAAAGCTCCGTACAAACTGAAATAATTGTGGGTGATCCTGGATGTGAGGAGGACCATGGTGCTTTCTGCTCAGCCTCATCTGTCCATGATGGTGATATCTGGACCAGAAAGAAGCCACGTTCATGTAAATTACGTGGAAAATCCTGCAGTTGTTGCTCTGAGCTTGCACACCAGAGGACACACACTGGAGAGAAGCCATATACTTGCAGTCATTGTGAAAAAGCTTTCAAATGGAGATACCTCCTCATTGTGCATCAGAGAACGCACACTGGGGAGAGGCCTTATCAGTGTAACCTGTGTGTTAAAACCTACCGTGGTCAGTCAGCTCTTATAAAACACAGGAGAACCCACACAGGTGAGAAACACTATGAATGTAACGATCGTGTAAAGTTCTTGAACCGGCAGGGTCACCTTACTAGGCATCAGAGAATTCATAGTGGAGGGAAACCTTACTTGTGCACTCACTGTGGAAACTCCTTCAGCCGTAGCTCTGACTTCGTTGCACATAAAAGGATTCACAGTGGAGAGAAACCATACGAGTGTAACCACTGTGGGAAATCTTTTTGGGAGCGAAAACAGCTTCTTGCACATCTTCGAACTCATGCTGGAGAGAAAAAATTTTATGAATGCAGTCATTGTGAGAAAGTTTTCAAATGGAGGTCTCACCTCATTCTGCATCAGAGAACACACACTGGAGAAAAGCCTTATGAGTGTATTGACTGCGGGAAAGCCTTCAGTGATGGGTCATCTCTCAGAAAACATGAGAGGACACACACTGGTGAGAAACCCTACCACTGTGACCAGTGTGGGAAATCTTTTCGGCAGCAGTCACAGCTGGTTGTGCACCAGCGAACGCATACTGGAGAGAAACCTTATGAATGCAGTCATTGTGGGAAAGCTTTCAGCCAGAGATCTGGCCTCATTGTTCATCAGAGAACACACACTGGAGAGAAGCCCTATAAGTGTAAGATTTGTGTTAAAGCCTTCAGCCAGAGATATCTCCTTATTGTGCACCAGAGAACACACACTGGAGAGAAGCCCTATCAGTGTACCATGTGTGTTAAAGCCTTCAGTGGTCGTTTAGCTCTTCAAAAACATGAGAGGATACACAAGGTCAAGAAACCCCATGAATGAATGTAATCATTGTGAAAAGGTTCTTTATGTGGCAGTCGCCTTACCAGGCATCAGTGAATTCACACTGGAGAGAAACCACATTTGTGTGCTCATTGGGCAAAGTCCTTCTGCTGTAACCCTTCATAGCATATAAAAGGATTCACACTGGAGAGAAGCCCTATATGTGCGACCACTGTGGGAAAACCTTTTATCAGTGATCATAGCTTGTGTATCTGTGTATTCATTCCAGAGGCAAGAAACTTTACTAATTCAGTCATTGTACAAAAGGTTTCAAATAGAGATCTCATTATGCACCAGAGAACACACTGGCATGAATCCTATAAATGTAATCACAATGAAAAGACCTTTTTATACTAGAGAGAAACCTTATAAGTGTGATGGATGGGAGAAGGCTTTCAATTATTATAAATCCCTTATTCAATGTGAGAAAGCTAAGGGGAGAGAAACCCTGTGAGTAATTAAGATGGAAAAGCTCAATGCCAGAACTTCTTTTCTAGACATCAAACAACCACATGCATCAGAATTGCTTGGTGTTTACATTGAAACTGCAGATTACCAAGCTTACCCTTATTTATGAGATCAGAATCTCTATCAGTAAAACCCAAGAACCTGTCATTTCCTGAACCAGCACAAGTTACTTGTATGTGCACTAAAATGTGTGGACTTAAACATTTAGGTGAGAGGGTATGAACATGACAACTGATGGAAAGCTTGCAAAGCTTTTAGTAGGAAATAGGAAATTCAGAATAGAACTGTGTCCATCAGATTATCATTTTATTGCAAACAACTGCCCAAACTTAATCAGATGTTATCCCTATAATACATTCCTAGAAATGATAAGGTATTGGGAGATTTGTTCCCCTCAAAAAAAGGCTACAGTGTATATCAATAATGGTTTAATGGAGAGGCCATTACTGTAGATTTGAGCAAAATGAAAGCAGGTGGGAGACCATCACCTGGAGATGCAGAGTGGAAAAGGCTGAAGCCAGGTCCATGAGGACAGGACCTACAGCACTGGAGGTCTCAGCCCCTTGACAGGGTTTCTGACTAGTGGGGCAGAAAAGCAAGGTTAACTGATGGTCTGTTGGTGAAATTCCAAGTTTCTTCCTCCTCCTTGTTTTGCATTACCTGCCTGTGGGTGAACAAAATAAAATAGGGGGTGAATGAAGTATCCCCCCCCAAAAAAAAATTGAATCTGGGGACTAGGAGATTGGTGAATTATGCAACACCTAGTTCTGGCCCTACTCCCTTCACAGCAAATCTTTCCATTAAACTAGTTCCCCTCCCCATCTATGGAGGCTCCCATGTTTTCTTCCATAGTCTCTTCAGTATAGATGGAGGTAGGGAGCAAGAGACTTGAAAGCTTTCAATGTAAAAGGAAAAATAGGTTTTTTAAAGGAAGAACAGATACTCAAGAAAACCAAACATTTAAATTGAGATTGAGCCAAGAAATAATTGCAAATGAAAATGAGTCTAACATAACTCTTAACAGAGTTATGAGAATAAAAATACTTTGTTTAAAAAATAAAAAGAGTTGGAAAAGAAAAAGGAAACCCCTGTAGAGCTGAAAGAAAATCTTAAGATCATGCCAAATAGTTTCCAGAATTATTGGGGTCCATGTAGCATGAGAAACTAAAATACTGTAGCCAAGAAATTGTAGAAACTTCTGAAAAATAGAAGTTTGAAACTAAGAAGAGGAATTTTTTTAAAAAGTGTTCTAACAGTGGGGGAGTAGGGGGTGTGTATCAGAACTTTAGGTAAAACAAACTGTTAAAAGGAAACAAATATACAAGGCAGTTGTAGTCCAGACTTTAGAAAGGAGTCTTCATTTGACTGTGATGTTAATATTTCATCCTAGAAAAGGCAGAGGACTCATGATAATTGCAATAAAAGAGGGAGAAATATACTCAGATTGTTTTGCTTGGCCCTTCACTAAACACTTTTTTTAATGGCATTTCTTTTGACTTGACAATATGTTTTTTATTGATTTCAGAGAGAAGGGAGAGGGTAAGCACTTTTTATAACTATAGTATAAACAGTAGGTGCTGGTTTTGGATTTTACAAAGAAACTGAGAGGTGTAATGGTGAATTTGGAGGTGAAGTGTAGGGGAGTTTCTCTGTATCTTCATTTTTGGAAGTTAGCTTTTAAATGAAATCGGTTACTTAGGAGGCCAAAATTACAATATTAAACAGTGATAGGACAAAAAAATTGGAATCAAATAGAGGATCACAAAAATAAAATATTCCTTATCAAAGAAGGAAGGCAGTAAAGTGTTTAAGCCATGAAAGATCAGAATTACATATAAAACCTTATTTAGAAACTGGAATAAAACATTTAAGAGTAGTTGGTGGAATGTGTGACTTGGGTAGGGTGTAGCAGGAGACAGTTGCTTTCCATTTTAATCCTGTCCTCCCCTGGCACGCTTCTTATTCAAGTAACATCATATACTTTCCCCCCACTATTTTAAACAGCAAGAGTGAGAGGAATGCCAACACCTGTTTGGCTCAGTGGATAGCTTCTATCTGCTGACTGAAAGGTCCCAGGTTCAATTCCAGTCAAGGGCACATCCCAGATGGGGGGTGTATAGGAGTCAGCTGATCAATGTTTCTCTTTCATCCGTGTTTCTAACTATTCCCTCTTCTCTGTGAAAAATCAATATATTTTTTTTAATTTCAAAAAAAGTGAGAGGAAAATACATCACAGTCTTCTTTTTGGCTTATAATAATAGGTTCCAGAATAATAGAAAGTCTCCTGGGATTCTTAGAAGTCACTGGATTTAAAGATGGGTTAATGTTATTGGTTCATTTTTTTATTGAGAGGGAGAAACAAACATAAGTGGTGAGAGAGAATCACTGATCAGCTTCCAGCTGCACTCCCCACAACCCAGGCATATGCCCCAACCTGTAATTGAACCATGACCTCCTGGTACATAATCAATCATTGAGCCATGCTGGTTGGGCCATGTTTATTTGTTTTTTGTTTTTAATATATATATAATTTTTTAAAAATATATATTTTATTGATTTTGTACAGAGAGGAAGGGAGAGAGATAGAGAGTTAGAAACATCGATGAGAGAGAGTCATCGATCAGCTGCCTCTTGCACACCCCCTACTGGGAATATGCCCGCAACCAAGGTACATGCCCTTGACCAGAATTGAACCCGGGACCCTTCAGTCCCCAAGCCAATGCTCTATCCATTGAGCCAAACCGGTCTCGGCATAATTTTATTTTATTTTACTTTTTGTAGAGAGGAAGGGAGAGGGATACAGAGGTAGAAACATTGATGAGAGAGAAACATAGATCAGCCACCTCCTGAACACCCCCTACTGGGGATGTGCCTGAAACCAAGATACATGCCCTTGACCAGAATCGAACCTGGCACCCTGCAGTCTGAAGGGCGATGCTCTATCCACTGAGCCAAACCTATTAGGTTTGGGCTATGTTTTTAGGACTTGATATCGCAGAAGCCTTATCAGGAAGTCACTGTGAGCCTGGAGAAAAGGTTGGTGTCCTGGGACAACTAGGGAGGATCCCTCTGAAGAGGGAAAACGTGTGTGGCCCTAACCAGTATAACCGGAATTGAACCTGGGACCTTTCAGTCCGCAGACCGATGCTCTACCACTGAGCCAAAACGGTTTCAGCTTTAAAATTACAAAACAACTTAATTTTTGCCTTTATTTAATAGGAGTTCTGTCTCATGACCTTTCTGTTCACTTTTAGATAACTCAGCTCGGTAAAAACACTTTCATTTAAGGCACTTAGAGCATCTATTCTAGTCCCACAAAATAGCTCATGAACTTCATTCAAAATTACAGCCCTAATGGGTGTGGCTCGGTGGACAGAGTGTTAGCCTTTGGACTGAAAGGTCCCAGGTTCGATTCTGGTCAAAGGCATGTACCTTGGTTGTGGGCACATTCCCAGTGGGAGGTGTGCAGGAGGCAGCTGATCAATGTTTCTCATTGATGTTTCTAACTCTCTGTCCCTCTCCCTGCCTCTAAAAAAATCAATAATATATATATTTTTTTAAAAAAATTACAACCCCTCTTTCTCCCTTAGCTTCCTGCCAGCCAACTGAGGAGAAGGTACTGCCCTTCCTCTCACTCCTCTTCCTCCTCCATCTCTCTGGCTGTTTCTCACTCCACTGGGGATGCTGCCAGGAATGAACATGGAGAGGAAGGGACAGGATCACTCTCAATGCACTAACAAGTGTTTATGTTGGTTCTGTGCTTCCTGGACCCTGTAGATGGTTCAAAGTGACTTTTTTTTTTCTCATAAGGGCACTTTTAAAAAATATATACATTTTATTGATTTTTACAGAGGAAGGGAGAGTAATAGAAACATCAATCAGCTGCCTTCTGCACACCCTCTCCTGGGGATGTGCCCGCCACCAAGGTACATGCCCTTGACCAGAATCGAACCTGAGACCCTTCAGTCCGCAGGCGGACACTGTATCCACTGAGCCAAACCAGTTAGGGCTCCATTTTGCAGTCGTGAATCCCATTTGGACTGCTCCAGGCTTAGCTTAAATGCCAGGGTCTTGATAAGAGAACATCATCAAAAACTCATACTGCATTTCCCCCATCCCCAGTAAAGATTTTTTAAAAATATGTTTTTATTGATTTCAGAGAGGAAGGCAGAGGGAGAGAAACATCTATGATGAGAGAGAATTACCAATTGGCTACCTCTGCAGTCCCCTACTGGGGACCAAGTGCACAACCCAAGCATGTGCTCTTAACCAGAATCCAATCTGGGACCCTTCAGTCCACAGGCCAATGCTCCACCCACTGAGCCAAACTGGCCAGGGCCCCAATAAACATCTTAACATAAGATTGAATTTAAGGCATTCTCCCTGGAGCATGCCAGAACATTCTTTTCACCCCCTTCTTCCCTTGAATCACCTTTGCTGCTGCTTTTAAAAATATATATATATTTATTGATTGATTGATTTCAGAGAGGGAGAGAGAGAAATAGAAACATCAATAATGAGAGAAAATCATTGATTGGCTGCCTCCAGCACATGCCCTACTGGGGGTCAAGCCCACAACCCAGGAGTGTGCCCTTGGCTAAAATCAAACTTTTTAGTCTGCAGACTAATGCTCTATCCACTGAGCAACACCAGCCAGGGCATGCCTTTGCTTCTTGAATCCATGCAGCCTGGCTGGCTTACTGTTTCCACGGCTCACTTCTTCTACCTCTGTGACTTACTAAATAACCTTTTGCTTGTATTGGATTCCATGGCTCTGATTTATTTTTTATTGATTGATTTTAGTATGGTTTTAATGGCTTTTTTTTTTTAGAGAGAGAGAGAGGGAAAGGAATAGAGAGATAGAAACATTGATGAGAAACATCTATCCGCTGCCTCTTGGACGCCCCTCGTCGCCCCTACTGGGGATGGAGCCTGCAACCCAGGTACGTGCCCTTGATCAGTATCAAACCCGGGACCCTTCAGTCCGCAGGCCGACTGTATCCACTGAGCCAAACCGGCCAGGGCCCAGGACTGAAGGGTCTGGGATTGGATACCAATCAAAGGCACATGCCCGGGACGCCAGCACATCCCCAATGAGGGACGTGCAGGAGGCGGCCGATCCATGATTCTCTCTTATTGATGTTTCTATCTCTCTCTCCTCCCTCTCTAAAATCAATAAAAACATTTAAATAAATGGGGGGATCCCAAGGCCCGACTTAAACCAGCTCATCCAGTTCCAGCCTGCAGACTGTTTTGAGGGGCCGCCTTCTCCGCTCCCCGCCTCTCCCGGGGGAACACAGGCCCGGGCGCCCCGTAGCCTCCCCCCACCGCAGCCCTGAGCCGCCTCGGGCCCATTGGCCGGAAGTCGGTCAGCGGAGGCTCCCATTGGTCGAAGGCTCCACAAACGGAGGCCCCCCCCCCCCATTAGTTTCCGCGCTGCCACTCGCCGCGGCGCCTTCTGGGAGTTGTAGTCTTGACGTCCCGGGGCGGCCGCCATTGTCCCGCGGTGGGCGAGCAGTAGCGGACCCTGAGGCGAGGGCGGGGGGCGGCTCTCGGGTTTGGGGTCGCCCCGCGCTCTCGTCCTCGACCCCTCGGCCCAGGATGGACCCTGAGGAGGAAGCGGCCGCCTGGACGGCGATGGCGACCGGGCCGCCGCCGGGCCGGCCTCAGGTAACGGGAACAATAGCCGTAAGGACGGCGCCGCGGGCCCGGCCGGACGTCTCCCTCCTCGCCTGACCTTTCACCCTCGCTCCCTCCGAGCTTGACCTTTCACCCCCGCGGCGCGCGGCGAACCTGAGGCGGGGCGGGCGGGCGCCCCCCGAGAGCGATGCCCGGCCGCTCCGCCCGCCGACCGGGCCGGTCCCGGCCCCGCCCCGCCCCGCCCGGAAGGCTGACCCCGCGGCCACGGGTCACAGGTGTGGTCCCCGGAGCCGCTCCGGTGCGCATCCCCCGCCTGCGGGCTGGGCCGCACCCCGTGGGGGGCGGGGAGACCCCCGGGGTCCCCGGCGCCACCTCCGGGGCTGGGGACAGCGTGCGGGCGGCCCGGGCCTGCAGGTCGCGGTGGGAAGGCCCCGGCCCAGGCGGTTCCAGGCCAAGTGGCCGCTGTGCTGTTTCTCAGGTTGAGCGTGACCTCTGAACCTGGAGGTCAAGGTTCGAGGCCACCAGGTTGAGCGCTTGCCCGGTGGTGGGCCAGGTCCCCACCGATGTTTGTAACTCTCTAGAGTAGGGGTGTCGAACTCAATCAGAGAAGGGGCCAAAATCTAAAATCCAGCCTAAATCGCGGGCCGAATGGTTTACTGAACAGTCATAAACTGTCATTGTGATGGAAACGCAGCGGAGTGCAGTGATGACAGCGCGGTGCGGGCCACATTGCAAGGCCTGGCGGGACGGATTTGGCCCGCGGGCCTTGTGTTTGACACATGTGCTCTAGAGGGATAGAGAGTTACAAACACCGATGAGAGAATCATCGGCCGAAACCTGTTTGGCTCAATGGATAGAGCGTCGGCTTGGTGACTGAAAGATCCCGGGTTCGATTCTGGTCAAGAGCATGTACCTTGGTTGTGGGCATATCCCCAGTAGGGGGTGTGCAAGAGGCAGCTGATCGATGACTGTCTAATCGATATTTCTAGCTCTCTATCTCTCCCTTCCTCTCTGTACAAAATCAATAAAATATATATTTTTTTTTTTTTTTTTTTAAAAGAGAGAATCATCGATCAGCTGCCTCCTGCACACCTCCCAGTCCGCACACCTGAGACCTCTCAGTCCGCAGGCTGACGCTCTATCCACTGCACCAAACCGGTTTCGGCAATAAATTATATTTTTGGTATATGTTATTAAATACACGTTAATTATATGTAACTAATATATGATTGTATAAATATACATTATATCATATATAATGATATATATGTTATATATATAGTATATGTATATATTATATATAACATATAATAGGCAGGAGGAGGCAGCCAGTCCATGATCCTCGCTCATCCATGTTTCTCTCTCTCTCCCCCTCTCCCTTCCTCTCTTTGGAGCACAAAAGTTTTTCATTTTGAGAACGTTTTATTTATTGCTTGCTTGTGCTTTTTGCTGTGCTATCTAAGAATCCTCTGCCAAGTCCAAAGTTATGAAGATTTATCGCTGAGTTTTCCTCTAAGAGTTTAACTGTTTCTGCTCTTAACATTTGTGTGAGGTAGGGGACCGCTTGTCCTGGAGGAAGTGTTTCACAGCCACTCAGTCCCCGCCTCAGCCCCAGGGAGACAGGGAAATGAGGAGGCAGGAGTGGGTCCCTGCTCTGCTGCTTTTTGCTGTTGTCAGTTCTCACCCGAGGATGTTTTTCTGTGGATTTTTGGAGAGTGTGGGAGGGGGGGGGGAGAGACAAGAAGAGACTCACACTTCGATTGGTTGCCTCTGGCACGCACCCTCTCATCGAGGTATGTGCTTTTGACTCGAATGGAACCTGAGACCCTTCCATCCACAGGCCGATGCTCTGTGCACTGAGCCAAACCAGCTGGGGCTACTTCGTGCTTCTCAAGGGGTAGCAGATTGCGAGAGTGCGGTTCTCAGGTGACACCCTGGAATGGGCTCCCTCCTCTCTGGTTCCAGCTGCCAAGTCACCGCAGCTCGGCAGCTCCTGCAATGAGCATCTGCCCCCTGGTGGTCAGTGCAGGCATAGCTACTGGTAGGATGGTCGCTTAGGCTTTTATATACATATATAAAATAATTATTTTTTTAATCCTTCTTAGAGGGAATGTTCAGTAATTTTTAGGAAGACAGAGGGATGGGGGGAGAGAGAGACAAGTATTGATGGGTTGCCTCCCCTATGTGCTTCACTCCCTACTGAATTGATCCTGTGATCTTTCCGTCTATAAGTCGCTCCAAACAACTGTGCCACCGGCCAGGGCTGTGGGACACGTGTTAAGTGCATTGCATCAACTTATAAAAATCAAAAAGTCTTCACTTGAAAACGTGACCTGATTGCCAGCTTCTCGCCAGAGACTGGCAGCGCTGACCGCTTGAGGCCCGCATTTCCCCACAGTCAGCTGCCCCTGACACTTGCTGGAACCCCCTTGTCAGAGAGGACAGACCTTGAGTCTGAGGGCTCGTGTGTGGTGACTGTAGATGCACAAACAGCAGCCGTGTCTGTCGCCCACGGAGCTGCCGGTCAGGAGTGCGGCCTGGTCTCTGCCCGATCCTCACCTGTCCGAGGGCAGCGGTGGGTCCGCTGTGGGTGGTTCTGGTCCCGCTGGCGGCTCTCACGTCCTCGCTGTGCAGTCCACACGGATAACAGAAGCCCTGTAGGTGCCAGCCAGACCCGGCTCACATCTCCAGAATGTGCACTCTCTCTGGATCCTGGCTGCCCTTCTCCTTCCCCTCCTCCTCCTCCTCCTCTTCCTCCTCCTCCCCGCTCCCCCTCCTCCTCCTCCTCCTCCTCTTGTGAGCGCCGACGGGGCACCCCGGCTGAGGGGCGCGCATGTGACGTTCCAGGAACCCGTGACCTTCCGCGACGTGGCCGTGGACTTCTCCCCGGAGGAGTGGGGGCGGCTGGGCCCTGCGCAGAGGACGCTGTACCGGGAGGTGATGCTGGAGACCTTCGGGCACCTGCTCTCCGTGGGTGAGCGGCCGCCCGGCACCAATCCTTCACGGGTGACAGGTCGTGGGCCCCGGGCTGGGGACCAGGGCTGGGTGCTCCTTCCCGGGGGGCCTGCGGACGGGGAGGTGTCCGCCCGCCTCTGCTCCCCATTGCACACCTTCTCTGCGGTGAGACCCCCGTCCTGGCGTCAGGAGTCCGGGCTGGGGCGGGCTGCTGCTCTGTCCGGACAGAACCCCACATCCGTGCCTCCCTCTGCCTCCAGGCCCCGAGCTTCCCAAACCCGAAGTCATCTCCCAGCTGGAGCGGGGCGCCGAGCTGTGGGCGGCGGAGCGGGCACTCGCCCGGGGCTGCGGTCCAGGTGGGTCCCTGTCGGGGCTGCTGGGAGCGGTGGTGAGTCACGTCCCCCAGACCATCTGCAGACCCAGTGGCCACAGCAGAACGTTCAGGGGGACGGGCTGGTGAGGCCAAGTCCAGAGGAGGCCACGCTCCAGGTCACTGTCCCCGTGGCTGAAGGTCACCGTCCCCTGGGCTGAAGGTCACCGTCCCCTGGGCTGGAGGTCACCGTCCCCACAGGCTGAAGGTCACCATCCCCCTGGGCTGGAGGTCACTGTCCCCTGGGCTGGAGGTCACTGTCCCCTGGCTGAAGGTCACCGTCCCCTGGGCTGGAGGTCACCGTCCCCACAGGCTGAAGGTCACCGTCCCCTGGGCTGGAGGTCACTGTCCGCTGGGCTGGAGGTCACTGTCCCCTGGGCTGAAGGTCACTGTCCCCACAGGCTGGAGGTCACTGTCCCCTGGGCTGGAGGTCACCGTCCCCTGGGCTGGAGGTCACTGTCCCTGGTGCTGAGTCAGTGGTGGTGACTGCAGCAGCCAGAGAAAACGGGTTCACCTTCACCTCAGTGCATTCACCCTGGAGCCCTCCTGGGCCGGAGGCCTCAGCCTGCAGCCCCCAGGTGTCCTGAGACCGGCCCCCATGCATGCGGCCTGTGACTCGGGGTTTTCTACGGCCCCCCAGGCTGCTGCCCCAGTTCAGCGTGTGCCTCCAGCCCCTGAGGCGGCTCTCCCTCTATGCGGTCACTACCTGATCCCCAGCATCTGAGGTCGGAAAGCAAGTACTTTAGGCTTTGTGGGCTGAGTGCAGTCTATTTTCTTTTTTCTTTTTTAATATATCAAAATTAAAAAAATATATATCAATATTTTTTTATTGATTTTATACAGAGAGGAAGGGAGAGAGAGAGAATTAGAAACATCGATGAGAGAGTCATCGATCAGCTGCCTCTTGCACACTCCCTACTGGAGATGTGCCCGCAACCAAGGTACATGTCCTTGACCAGAATCGAACCCGGGACCTTTCAGTTCCCATGCCGACGCTCTATCCATTGAGCCCAAACCGGTTTTGGCCAGTCTATTTTCTATAACACACATTGGGCAGGAGGGCAGGTGGTGGGGTGCAGGCCGAGCTCGGGGGGCCGGCTCCTCTCTTCCTTCCTGGCCCCTCAGAGCTCTGCTTTCTTTCAGGCTGGGAGCCGGGACCTGAAGAGCCCACGCCGCCCGCGGGGCAGGTCCTTCCTGAGGAAGCGCCCCCCAGCACCCCGGGGGAAGGCTGGGGCTGCGGGGGCCGGATCCCCGCGCCCCCGGAGGACCAGGATGGATCCGGGCCGGCCGAGTGCTGCCTCGAGGAAGCCCCAGCTCCAGGGAGGAGCCCGGAAAACTGTGTCCCCAGCTCGGAACTGTGCCCCGAGGTTCCCGGGAACACCTCCTTCTGTACCTCCGACGTGCAGGCCACAGACCCGGGGGTCCCCTCCCGCGCCGCCGGCCCGCAGGACCCTCCGCCCGGCCCCCTTGCGGAGCTGGCGCCGGGCCCCGCCCCGGAGAAGCCCTACAAGTGCGCGGACTGCGGCAAGTCCTTCAACCACAACGCGCACCTCACGGTGCACAAGCGCATCCACACGGGCGAGCGGCCGTACACGTGCAAGGAGTGCGGCAAGGCCTTCAGCCAGAACTCGTCGCTGGTGCAGCACGAGCGCATCCACACGGGCGACAAGCCCTACGAGTGCGCCGAGTGCGGCAAGCGCTTCTGCCACAGCACGCACCTCACCGTGCACCGCCGCATCCACACGGGCGAGAAGCCCTACGCCTGCCAGGACTGCGGCCGCGCCTTCAACCAGAACTCCTCGCTGGGCCGCCACCGGCGCACGCACACGGGCGAGAAGCCCTACGCCTGCAGCGTGTGCGGCAAGGCCTTCTCCCGCACCACCTGCCTCTTCCTGCACCTGCGGACGCACACGGAGGAGCGGCCCTACGAGTGCAGCCACTGCGGCAAGGGCTTCCGCCACAGCTCCTCGCTGGCGCAGCACCAGCGCAAGCACGCGGGCGAGAAGCCCTACGAGTGCCGGCAGCGGCTGCTCTTCCAGCAGGCCGCCCTGGCCGCCGCCGCGGCCGCCGCGCACCCCTGGGCCGGCGCCCTGGGCTGCGGCCCGGGCCTGGCCTCCGGCGAGGCCGCCCCGCGCAGCGACCGGCCCTTCCGCTGCGGCCAGTGCGGCAAGTGCTTCGTCCAGAGCTCGCACCTCATCCGCCACCAGGTGACGCACACGCGGGACGGGCCCCGTGGGTGTGGGCGGAGGCGGCGGCGGCCGGAGCAGCCCCCGGGCCGCGGCCCACACCCTCCTCCCCCGCGCACAGGTGAGGACCCCGGGCACGGCGCCGGGGCGGGGCCGCCGGCCAGCAAGGCGCTCGCCCTGTTTGACATCCACGAGATCCTGCAGGACAGAAAGCCCGTGCACGTGATCGCGGTGGAGCCGCCGCCCGTGGTGGTTGACGTCAAAGAGTCCCCCTAGGAGGCCCCGCAGGGACGGACCCTCCCGCAGAGCAGGAAGCCTGGGCGCCCTCCGCTCTCCGTTCCCCCGGACCCGGAGCTTGGGGACCTCCGTCTGTCAAGCCCCGTGCACCCTCTAGCCCATATTTCCTACTGTTGCCTCTGGGACCCTGACGTGGGTTCACGGGTCATGTTAAAAAATCAACACAGGCCCCATTTTGTACAAGAAACTAAAGCAAGAGTGATTGCAGTGGAGCGACGTGTGCTCAGCGGGCCGGCGTCTCCTGGCCGAGGAGGCCTGGCCGGCCTGGCGGGTGTGAGGTTGGCCAGGAAGCGTGAGGGCAGTCTTGTCCGGGACGTGATTTACTATTATTATTATTATTATTATTAATCCTTACCAGAAGAATGAGAAATAGGAATTTTTCCTATTGATTTTTTTTTTTTTTAAGAGAGTGGAGGGGACGGATAGTGAGAGAGAGAAACATTGATGCGTTAAGCGTTGCCCCAGCTCGTTCCCCAAAGGGAGCCGCAGATTGAATCTGCAACCAAGGTACGTGCCCTCGACCACAAATCTAATCCCCGTCCACTGGCCGGGGCGGAAAGTGCATTTTCAGAGTACAGTCTCACTCCTGGAAAAGGTTTGCGTCAAACAAAGCGCCGTTGCATTTCTGGGAAATTCTGTTCAAAATCCTTAGCACGTGGGATTCCTGTGTTTACCTGTGAGGTCAGCTGAGGGTCTCCGTTCACACAAACAGATGGTTTCATACGGACACGCGGGGGTCCCCGGGACCAGCCTGCACTTCCGGGCATTGGAGCAGCTAAGCCCCGCCCACAGCAGCCACTCCCGCGCCCGAAGCAGAGGCCAGGGAAGCCCCGTGAGACCCCACTGCCCCTGGGAAAGCCGTTGCCTCTTAGCAGCCTGAGCTGCCCCGAGCTGGAGGCTGGCTCTGCATTGGTGAGGTCTGGTTGCCATGACTGCGGGAGGGCAGGGCCCTGCTCCACATCCCATAATGTCCACGCTGCAAAGGTAGGGACACTGCCCAGCACTAGCCACCATTTCCCGACATTGCTTGATCAGGGCTGAACTAACAATTTTTTACATTTATTTTTTTTGTTTTGTTTTTATTTCATAGAGGATGGGAGAGGGAGAGACACAAGAAACATCAACAATGAGAGGGAATCATTGATTGGCTGTCTCCTGCATGCCCCCCACTGGGGATCAAGTCTGCCACCCAAGCGTGTGCCCTTGAGCATAATGGAACCTGGGGCCCTTGAGTCTGCAGGCCGGTGCTCTATCCACTGAGCCACACCAGCGAGGGCTCTTTTTTAGTCTTACATTCATTCCTTCTGGGGGGATTTTGTAGGCACCTCCAGTCTGCTCCTCGCTGTGCCTGGAGGAATGCCCTCTGGTGAGGCCCGGGTGTGCTGGGGCGCCTTCCGAATTGTGTGACCCCCCGCCTTGTATGGCGCCTTGTTCTCTGCTGGAGAACATGGTTTATTTCTGTGTGACGCAGGGCATGCTCACAGGACCACCCATGTTCTCGGTTGCACACTCTGCCTTGGTCATCTTACTGCTCCTCCAGTTTTAAACGTGAGTAAAGCCAAGGACTCCAGCTCGGTCCATGCTGTTGTTGGCAGAAAGAGCACCATGATCGGCTGGCTGGTTTGCTCAGTGGCTAGAGCCTTGGCCCACACACTAAAAGGTCACAGGTTCGATTCCTGCTCCAGGGCACGTGCCTCAGTTGCAGGTTTCCCAGCCCCAGTCGGGCACGTGCAGGAGCCAACCAGTCAATGTATCTCTCTCGTCAATATTTCTCTCTCCTCCCATCCACTGTCTCTAGAAAGTAATGGAAAACTATCCACAGGCAAGAATTTAAAAAAGCACAGTGTGATCAAGGTACGATCCTTGCCCAAGCTGGTGTGGCTCAGTGGATAGCGCATTGGCCTGCAAACTGAAGGGTCCCGGGTTTGATTCCCGGTCAGAGCACAGGCCCAGGTTGTGGGCTTGATCCCCAATGTGGGGCATGCAAGAAGCAGCTGATCCATGATTCTCTCATCATTGATGTTTCTATCTATCCTCCCTTCCTCTCTGAAATCAATAAAAACTATATGTATTTTTTTAAAAGGGTGTGATCCTTGGAGTCTCATAGGCCAACATTTATAAAAACCCATGTTTGATCCCAGCCAGTGTGGCTCAGTGGTGGAGCATCGAACTATGAACCAGGAGGTCATGGTTTGGCCGTCGTGTTGTGCACTCGATTCCCAGTGTGGGGCGTGTAGGAGGCAGCCGATCCATGATTCCCATCATTGATATTGCTCTCTTTTCCTCTCTGAGATCAATAAAAAACCTGTATTTTTTATAAAGTGGTGATGGATTTTATTCTGCATGGTAGACACATAGTGCAATATATAGATCTTGTAACAGAGGCCCACACCCGAAACATGATCATGTTGGCTAGTGTCGCCCCATTAAATGTAGTAAAACAAACCCGGGTTTGAATCTCAGTGGACACCCCTTCCCGCCCCACGTCACGCCCTTAGCCTCCCTGTTGGCTTTCCCCCTGCGCCAGCATCACAGTGAGGTCAGGTACATCCGGGCATGTCCAACGCTGGAAGGAAGCAGCACTGATCCTGCGGAAGACGGGGCGTCCGGACCCACAGGGCCCGGAGGGCAGCAGCCGTGAGAAGACGCTGGGCTGGAGTTCGGAGCTTCAGCGCTCGCTGCCCAGCACGGCTGAGTGTCTGCCTCTGTGGGTGCTGAGGTCACAGTGGGCCGTTGCCATGGTAGCCGAGCTGCCCTGGCTCCTCCCTGGAGGTTCTGCCTACGAGAACCTGTGCAGCCCAGGTGTGCGTCCCTGCACAGCCTCTAATCCTTCCTCCTTGTCCCCTCGCCTCTTAAATGTTGGGGCCCCAGGAGCCGTCCCCTTGCTCCAGGGCCCTTTCTCAGAGTCTGACCCCCCCACACTCCCCCCTACCCCCTGAAGCGAGAAGGTAAGTGAGTTTTGGCCTCTGTGGCCTCCTGCTCTGCAGACCTCACCCCCTGCTCTCTTCCTGCTCCCACTCCCCCACCTCCAGCCCCGGAGGGAAGGGACAGCCGAGACCTCTGCCATTTCCCCATTTCTCATCTCATGTCACACGTCAAAGGTAAAAATGTGACTTTGACCAGTGTGGCTCAGTGGGTAGAGCATCGGCCTGTGTACTGAAGGGTCCCAGGTTCGATTCCGGTCAAGGGTACATGCCCAGGTTGTGGGCTCCATCCCCAGGAGGGGTCGTGCAAGCCCTGAAACCAATAAAAATACATTTTTCATTTTAAAAATATATATTTTATTGCCAAAACCGGTTTGGCTCAGTGGATAGAGTGTCGGCCTGTGGACTGAAAGGTCCCGGGTCCGATTCTGGTTAGGGACATGTACCTTGGTTGCGGGCACATCCCCAATAGGGGTTGTGCAAGAGGCAGCTGATCGATGATTCTCTCTCATCGATGTTTCTAACTATCCCTCTCCTTTCCTCTCTGTAAAAATCAATAAAATATATTTAAAAAATTATATATATATATTATTGATTTTTTAGAGAGAGGAAGGGAGAGGGACAGAGGGCTACAAACATGGATGAGAGAGAAACAGATCAGCTGCCTCCTGCACACCCCGCTGGGGATGTGCCCGCAACCAAGGTGCATGCCCTTGACCAGAATTGAACTTGGGACCCTTCAGTCCGCAGGCTGACGCTCTATCCACTGAATCACGCTGGCCAGGGCTGGGCGTTCATTTTGCATGGTGTTTGGGGGCAGTTCCCTCAGAGCGGCCCCTTCTCCCGCCGGGCGGGGCGCTGTCCGCGGTGCTGAAACGGCCCGCGGTGGCTGATATGACTTGATTACAATGTCCTGGCCACGCCCGCCTGTCTCCTCCCCGGAGCCGCCGGACTCCACGTTCCCGGGCAGGCTGTCCACGCGCGTTTCCAAAGCTGCCGGTGTCCCAGCTTCCCGGAAGCTTCTCCCCCTGGGGTGGTCTGTGGCCGCAGCCGCCAGGGAGCGCGCACCCGGGGACAAGGAGTGCCCATCCCGGGCAGGGACCGCGCATCCCACGGGGAGCTCGTACTGCCCCGGCCGCTCCTCCCGCTCCCCCTCCTGCTTCTCTTTTCACCTCAGGGTGGGGCTCAGGACCCTGGCACCAACTGAGGGAGCAGATCTGGGACAGAGGCTCCTGTGGCCGCAGCTTATCAGCCAAAATCCAGAAAAAGGCCAGAGCGGTGACACACACAGCTCACCCTCCAGGTCATGTGCAACCACACGACAGACATGTGTGATCCGCTGTACATGGTCACAGTGAGCCACACACACACATACACACACACACACCTCACCCCGGCACTCGCATTGCTCACACGCACCTCACCCTCTCGCGGTCCCACTGCCCCACATAGGCTCACCTGGACTACAACTCCCGGCAGGCCTCGGGCTGCGCGAGGGCTCCTGCGTGCCACCTTCTAAGAACTGTAACCCAGGGACACGCCTGGCCCTTGTGGCGCGGTGCATTCCGGGAGTTGTAGTCCAGACGGGTTGCGCGGCGCATTCTGAGTGTTGTGGTCCTGGCGGGCTGCGTGGCGCATTCTGGGAGTTGTGGTCCAGGCGGGCTTGCGCGGCGCATTCTGGGAGTTGTGGTCCGGCATTTGGACGCGCTGGCGGGCTCCTCCGTCGGGCGCCTATGCGTCCGCCCCCGGAAGTGTCTCCTCGCCCCTCCGTGAGGTGGGTCCGAGGGGGCGCCCGCCGCCAGCGTCCGCTGCGCCCCTAAGCCAGACGTGCTGGACGCGGCCGCGGGCGGGCGGCCGGTGTGAGGGGCTGACTGCCGGGGCGCGGGACCGATGGACGGACCGAGCGCAGGACTGACTGGTCCGCGGTGGGGCCCCCTGACGGGGCGCGGGGCCGGCGGGTGGGGGCGCGAGGGGCCCACCCCAGCCCGGGGCGCGGGGTCCCCCGGTGGGGCGGCGGGGGTGTGACCGTCCCGCCGGGTGTGCGGCGCCCACGGGGCGGGGGCGTGGGAGGCCGCGGCGGGTGTGTGACCTGAGAGGCTGGGCGGGTGGTTGACCTCGCGTGACCTCGCCTCCCCAGGGGCTTGGCCGAGGCGGCGACCCAGAAAGGATGTGCCCTGAGACTGTGTGTTTATCTATTTTTAAATATTTTTATTGATTTCTGAGAGGAAGGGAGAGGAGAGAGAGAGAAACGCCAACGATGAGAATCATTGATCGGCTGCCTCCTGCGCCATCCGGGCCTGGGCCCTGACCCGGAATCTAACCTAGGACTTCCTGGTTCATAGGTCAAGTCTCAACCCCGAGCCACACCCCCCAGCAGCGGGTTGTGTGTTTAGTGTTCTGTGTGTGGCAGGGATTGTGTGTGTCTGGCCCTGGCCGGTCGCGGCTGGTTGGGCAGCCTCCCGGACACCAAGTGGTTGCAGGTCCGCAGGCTGACACTCTATCCACTGAGCCAAGCCAGTTTCGGCTGATTATCTTTTTAGTATACTTTCATTGATTTCAGAGAGGAAGGGAGAGGAAGACAGAAACATCAGCAATCAGAGAGAACCACTGATGGACTGCCTTCTGCACGCCCCACCCTGGGGATCTAGCCCGAAACCCTGGCATGTGCCCTGACTGGAAACCACTGAGCCACACCAGCCCAGCTGCCCTGATTGTTTTGAGGATCTGTTTCCTGTGAGATCGAGTCTCATATCCCACGCCCCAGGCCAGTGGCCGCCCTACTGACCACGCTCCCATCTCCCTGCAGACCCGCTGCCGTGCTCCTGCCTGATGGCCGCCCCCCAGTCCCCCCTGAGCCCGGCCCCCTGGGACCCGGAAGGCGTCCTGCGGGTGAAGGTGGAGGATGAGGACGCCAGCCTTTCCCACGCGGCCCGCCCCCAGGAGGAGGAGGAGGAGGAGGAGGCGGCGCGCCTGCGCTTCCGGGGCTTCCGCTACGAGGAAGCGTCCGGCCCCAACGAGGCCCTGGCCCGGCTCCGCGAGCTGTGCCGCCGGTGGCTGCAGCCGGAGGCGCACTCCAAGGAGCAGATGCTGGAGCTGCTGGTGCTGGAGCAGTTCCTGGGGGTGCTGCCCCCCGAGGTCCAGGCCTGGGTGGGGGCCCAGTGCCCCCGGAGCGGCAAGGAGGCGGCCGCGCTGGTGGAGGATCTGACGCGGGAGCTGGACCGGAAAGGTGAGGGGCGGTGGGCGGCGGGCAGTGTTCACCGGACTCCCCAGGCAGGCGCCGGGCTGCATGGGAGAGCTCATGGGGTCCTCTGTGGGATTCAAGGGCGAGATTCTACAGCCAAAACCCCAGCTTGGCCACTTGCTGTGTGACCTTGTGCAAGTGGCTCAACCTCTCTGAGCTCACGATGTGACCGTGCACCCGTTACACTGGAAGCCTGTTAGCGGTCAGCAGCCTGGGGCGCCAGAGGGGACTCGGTGTGTTCTTCCTCCCTTACAGGTGAGGATAATGGGGGCTAGACCAGGGTCGGTTCGCCAGGGCCCCCAGGGCCGGCCAGCGGCAGGCCTGGGGCCTCCCCTTCGCCCCTCCTTCCTGGGATCCTCCCGGAACCCAGGCTCTGAGCTCCCATCAAGGGTAGGCCAGGGCAGGTGCCCTTAGCCACACTCCGCCCGCCCAGCGCCATGGGAAGGCCAGGCCTCAGACCCAGACCCAGGCTGGTGTCGCTCAATGGTTAGAGCGGGGCTTGCACACTGGAGGGTGGCAGGTTCCATCCCTGCCCCGGGTCGGGGCACGTGAGGGGGGCAGCCCGTCCATGTGTCTCTCTCATGACAATGTCTATCACGTCAATGTTTTTCTCTCTCTCCCACCTTGGAATTAGGTGGGGTGGGTTCTGAGGGGATTGGAGGCTCTCAGCAGTGACCCAGTGCCCAGCTGGTGTGCCAGAGCGGCCCACATGGCCCCTCTCGGAGGGAGGCCCGTCCGAGGCTGATGCCCCGGAGGCCGATACCCCAGGCCTGACTCTGCGGCTCCCCTGTTTCAGGCTGGAAGCCGGGAGCCGAGCCCCCCGGGGCGAGCTGCAAGCACAGCGACTCGGAGGAGGTGGACTCGGCCGCCCAGGCCCTGGGACCCGGCTTCGGGGACGCCCTCGGACCCCCGGTGAGTGCGGAGGGGACGGCGGGGCGCCCGGGGGACGTCTGGACCGAGCCCTGCGCCCAGGAGACGGGTTTCGGGGCCACTCCGGGGCCTCCCGACGCGGCGCTCGGGGACCAGCTGGGCTGTGACTCCGGGGCCTCCAGGAACATGCCCAGCGCGTGGTCAGAGGCCTCCTGGCCCGGCAAGGCCGCCTCCCCCGTGGATCCTGGCCCTGTGGACGGTGGTGGCGCCGGCCCTCCGCAGACTCACCCGGGCCGGGCGCCCTCCGAGGGCGGGGAGCGCGGGGAGACCTTCCCCGGCGCCGGGACCCTGGCCGCGCACCAGAGGGGCCACGCCCGCAAGACGCCCCACACCTGCGGCGAGTGCGGCAAGGCCTTCAGCCGCAGCACGCACCTGGCCCAGCACCGCATGGTGCACACGGGGGCCAAGCCGCACGCGTGCCCGGACTGCGGCCGCGCCTTCCGCCGGGCCGCCCACCTGGCGCAGCACCGGCGCATCCACACCGGGGAGAAGCCCTTCGCCTGCGGGGACTGCGGCAAGGCCTTCGGCCGCAGCACGCACCTGGCCCAGCACCGGCGCACGCACACGGGCGAGCGGCCCTACGCCTGCGCCGCCTGCGGCCGGGCCTTCAGCCAGAGCGCGCACCTGACCCAGCACCGGCGCACGCACACCGGGGAGCGGCCCTACGCCTGCCCGGCCTGCGACAGGGCCTTCAGCGACTACTCGGCCCTGATCCGGCACCTGCGCGTCCACTCCGGGGAGAGGCCCTACCGCTGCCAGGCCTGCCCCAAGGCCTTCGCGCAGAGCTCCTCCCTGACCGAGCACCAGCGCGTGCACACGGGCGAGAAGCCGCACCGCTGCGGGGGCTGCGGGAAGGCCTTCAGCCGCAGCTCCGCCCTCCTGGCGCACCTGCGGGCCCACGGCCCGGCGCTCGGGTGACCGGCCCGCCGGGCGGTGGCCTCCTGCGCAGCCTGGAGCGGAGGGGAGACCCGGAGTTCCCAAGGAGCCAGGAAGAAGGGGCGGAGCACCGAGGACTCCCCCGGAATGAGGAGGTTCCGAAGGGCAGACTTGGGGCTGGTCCTCAGCCAGGGCAGGGGGTGCGCCTCTGCCGGGACTCGGTGGTCTCAGGGCGACGATCTGGGCCAAGTTCACACTCGGGGTTCTCGCCCGCCCAGCCCGGGGGGACACGGCCCACGCTACCTCTGTGCCTTTCGGTTTTATTATTTATTTTTACTTTTCTGGTTAATGCTCATGCGAAGATAGTTTTTCATTGATCTTTAGAGAGAGGGAGGGAGAGAGAAACACGATGGGAGAGAGACAGGGATTGGCTGCCTGCCACACACGGCCAGACCAGGGCCAGGAGGGAACCTGCAACCCACGGACGTGCCCTTGACGGGGAGTGGAACCCTTGGGTGGCAGGGCCAGCGCTCTACCCACTGAGGCCACCAGCCAGCCGAGCCTTCCCACCCGCTGCTCCTCCTCTTCACGCCCAGGCCAGGTCGGCTGGGAGTCCGCCTCCTGCTCCCACCGCCGCTGGGGGCGCTGCTGACCCTCCCCGGGAGGCATTCCTCTGCTCCCGCCCCGCCTGCCACTTCCCACCAGCCCGTGCGTTCTGCCTGCGCTCTTCTCCGCTGTTTTCTCCACCGTGGGAGCCTCACGTGCACCGAGGAGGTCGCCTTTTGTGAGCTCCCGAGAGCAGGGCCCTGTCTCCTTCTCTGACCCGCAAGGCGTTCCCGTGGGACACAGCAGACCTCGATGCCTGTCGGTTGGATGCACTGCCGGGGCTGACACCTTCCCAGGCGGCTGCGTGTCCGTGTGTGTGTGTGTGTGTGTGTGAGTGTGTGTGTGATAGAGAGAGTGTGTGTGAGAGAGAGAGAGAGAGAGAGAGTGTGTGTGTGTGTGTGTGTGTGTGTGTGTGCGTGCATGAGAGAGTGTGTGTGTGTGCGGGGCTGTCTCCCACCACCGTGGGCTCCACAAAGACAAGAGCAACCAGATGTCCCAGGGTCCCAGCACTCGGTGGCCTCAGTAAAACGTTACCGGCCGGGCCTGGCCTGCCTGGCTCCGAGGATGAGTGTCAACCTATGAACCAGGAGGTCACAGTTCCATTCCTTGTCAGGGCACTTGCCCGGGTTATAGCTCCATACACAGAAGGCCGGTCAATTATTCTCATCACTAATGTTTCTATCTGTGCCTCTCCCTTTCTCTCTGAAATCAATAAAATGTATTTAAAAAAACAAAAACAGCCGAAACCAGTTTGGCTCAATGGATAGAGCGTCAGCTTGGGGACTGAAAGGTCCTGGGTTCGATTCTGGTCAAGGGCATGTACCTTGGTTGCGGGCATATCCCCAGTAGGGGGTGTGCAAGAGGCAGCCAATCGATGACTCTCTCTCATCGATGTTTCTAACTCTCTATCTCTCTCCCTTCCTCTCTGTACAAAATCAATAAAATATATTTAAAAAAAATAAATAAGTAAACAAAAACAAAAAACAACCAAGGAGAACAGGAAGGCTAAGCCCCTGGGAGACAAAGATCAGTATCTTCACGGGAGGCCCAGACACACCTGGATGCAGACAGATGTCCACCCACAAGGCACTGAGGCGGACAGGAGGAGAGCAAGCCGGTGGACATAGGGAGGAACTCTGAGACATGGGGCATAGGATCCCAGGGAAATGGCCACTCGGGCCTGGGACAGGCTGCGGGTCTTGGAGGAGACAGACATGAGCCTGCAGTCCGGCCGCAGGGGGACCTGGAGTAGGGGCTCCCCCTCAACCTGGGGGACCCGCTCTGTGTGGCCCCTGACCCAGGGCCTTGGCCTGGCTCTAGCCGGCATGTCCGTCTCCACCTCCCTCTGCTCGGCACGTCCAGCTCTGTCACTGAGGAGTGGACTCCAGCTGACACTCACAATCTCCAGGTGTGTGTCTGCCCGTGTGTGTCTAAAGCAGCAGGAGGGCCCTAGCTGGTTTGGCTCAGTGTATGGAGCATCGGCCTATGGATTGAAGGGTCCCAGGTTGGATTTCAGCCAAGAGCACAGGCCTGGGTTGTGAGCTCGATCCCCAGTAGGGGGCGTGCAGGGGGGCAGCCCATCAATGATTCTCATTATTGATGTTTCTATCTCTATCCCTCTCTCTTCCTCTCTGAAATCCATAAAAATATAAATAAATAAAGCAGAAAGAGGGTGAGTTGGGGGAGGGGAAGGAGTCTTTGTTCTTAATCCTCACCTGGGATACTTTTCCATTGATTTTTTTAGAGAGAATGCAAGGAAAGGAGAAACATCGGTATGAGAGAGACACCCCTTGGCTGCCTCCCACATGAGGCTGGGCATGGAGCCAGCAACCAAGGTATGTGCCCTTGAACCTGGGGCCCTTCGGTCTCCCGGCTGATGCTCTACCCATTGAGCCAAACCGGCTAGGGCCGGGATCTTTATTCTCAGTGTTTTTGTTTATTTCATAGAGTGTCCACGGGCAAAGGGGGCTCAGATCTGAGGGGCAGAGAACAGAGGGATGTCCCATCCCTCCCACAGCTTCATGCTCCCCCAGGGGAGACCTGGCCTTTGGCGGGGACACAGCCCAGCACCGCCACCTGGTGGCCGCCCCACAAAGTGCAGCCTCCCAACTGCCTCCCTGGGTGGGACTGGTTGGGTCCAGGTGGGAGGGGGTGGGTGTGTCTGGAAGCCCCCGGTTCCCTACCCAGCAGCCAGGGAGGGCGGCATCCGGGTGCAGGAAGAAAGTCTGGAAAAAGGTGGGCTCTAGTGCGCAGTGGTTGAGCATCAACCTATGAACTAGGAGGTCACAGTCCAATCCCCGGGTGGTGGACTCCATCCCCACTGTGGGGCCTGCAGGAGGCAGCCGGTCAGCGATTCTCTCTCATCACTGATGTTTCTGTCTTCCTCTCTGAAATCAAAACGTTTAAAAGAAAAGAAAAAGGTGGACCCTGCCAGCACCGGCCGCACCCCTTCTGGACACAGGGTCCCGGCCCAGGTCCCTCAGCCCGGGCACCCGCCCTGCCGCAGGGCTGCCACTGGCGGGAGACGCGTTTCACAGTCTTTTCACATTTATTAACTCCCAGGAGGAATGAGAGCTGCTCCCCTACACACACACCCCGCCCGGGGGGACGTGCAGCCAGCAGCAGCAGGAAGGAGCAGAGCAGGGTGTGTGTGTGCGTGTGTGTGGCCAGGACACCCTCGGCAGCCCGGGTCTGCAGCCGGATCAGGGTTCTGGAAAAAATTGGCAAAAGAGAAATGGTAAGAGGGGGAGGCCCTGGGTGCAGACCTCCCCGAGCCCCGCAGGAAGGAAGCAGCTGAGTCGGCTGCCCCCGCCCCCCCGCCCCGCCCGGGCCTCCCTCCTGGCGCTCCAGCTCCCATGGCCACTCGCTGCCCCAGGGCCTTTGCACCTGCTGTTTCCCAGGGCACACCCGCCCCACAGAGGGCTCGGGCTGGGCGGGGGTGCGGAGGGACAGGAGTCCGGAGCCTGGGGGGGGCGGGGCCTCACCTGCCACCTGCAGCTCCACGGGGTCGCTCAGCTCGGACACCAGGGGCCAGCGGGAGCGGTAGCGGCAGCTGTAGGTGCCGGCGTGCTGGGGCCCCACGTAGGGGAGCACCAGGTCCTCGGAGGGGCCGTAGGCCGAGGCCACCACCTCGCCGGCCGCCAGCAGCTCCAGGGACTCGTGGGCCACGGGCTTCTCGCAGCGCAGGGCGGCGTCCTGGCCCGGCCTCACCTTCCCGCTCCACAGGGCCCGCAGCCGCGGCTTGGGGAGGGGGCCTGCGGGGGCGGGCGGGGTCCGGCAGGTCAGCCCCCCTTCCAGCTGCAGCCACCCCGGCCCAGGCCCTCCCCTCCCCCCGGAGCCCAGGCTGGAGGGAGCCAGCCCTCCCCACCCACCGCTCTCCCCTGTGTCCCCCAGACCCGGGCCGGTTCTGCTGCTCTTTGGGGGGGCCCCAGGGGAGGGAAGGGAGACTTGATGGTGGAGATGGGGTCCCCCGAAGAGCGAAGGTCAGGAGGTGCCCCAGCCCCTGCCCTGTGGGGACCTGGGTGAGGACATGGGAGGGACAGGCCGACCCCAGGGCCCCGGGGGGCACCCATGACCCTTCACCCCGCGCACAGGCCCTGGTGGGGGGCTCACAGGGAGACCCCAGCACCGCTGCTGACCCGGGGAGTGTGACCTCCCAGGAACCAGGTGGTCCGGGTTCGAATCCGGCTCAGGGCACCTGGCCGGGCTGCGGGCTCGATCCGCAGTCAGGGGCGTGGGGGAGGCAGCCGATCAGTGATTCACTGATGCTTCTCTCTCTCTCCTCCCTTCCTCTCTGAAGGCAATAAAATACATGAATAAGTAAAGCCCTCGCTGGCGTTCCCAGTGGGCAGAGCCTGCCTGCGGACCAGAGGGGCCCAGGCTCGGTTTGGTCCAGGGCGCCTGCCGGGCCCGGGGTCAGGGCCTGTGCCCAAGGCCACCAATCAGCGTGTTCCTCTCTCATGGATGTTCCTCTCTGGCTCTCCCTCTCCCTTCCACTCTCTCTTTAAAAAAAAAAAAAATCAATGGGAAAAATATTCTCAGGTGAGGGTTTTTTATAAAATAAAATAAAAAGTAATAGCCGAGCCGAAGCCGGTTTGGCTCAGTGGATAGAGCGTCGGCCTGCAGACTGAAGGGTCCCGGGTTCGATTCCGGTCAAGGGCATGTACCTTGGTTTGCGGGCACATCCCCAGTGCGGGGGGGGGGGGGGGGGGGCGGGAGTACAGGAGGCAGCTGGTCGATGTTTCTCTCTCATTGACGTTTCTAACTCTCTATCCCTCTCAATTCCTCTCTGTGTAAAATCAATAAAATATATTTTAAAAAATAATAAAATAGCCGAGGTTAAACTGGTTTGGCTCAGTGGATAGAGCATCGGCCTGCGGACTGGAAGGTCCCGGGTTCGATTCCGGTCAAGGGCATGTCCCTTGGTTGCGGGCACATCCCCAGTAGGGGGTGTGCAGGAGGCAGCTGATGGATGTTTCTAACTCTCTCCCTTCCTCTCTGTAAAAAATCAATAGAATAAATAAGTAAAGGGCAGACAATTTTTCAAAAGTAAGAATAAAAAATTAAATTAAGACATAATAAAATGAATATTAAGTAAAATGAGAATATTTATATTGTTAGACTGCACGGGGACACTGAGGCTCGGGCGGTGCAGAGCCTGGTGGTGGGACCCCCGCGCCCCCCCCCCTCCGGGGACCCCGGGCCTCACCGTCCCACCGCAGGTCCAGGGCGCCGCTGGGCGCGGAGCCGGCGGGCGCGGGGCCCGCGTACACGCAGCTGTAGTTGCCGGAGTCCAGCGGCGACATGTCCCGGAGCTCGAAGTGGGCCTCGGGGCCCTCCGGGCTCTGGACGCCTCGCACCCGGCGCCCGCTCCGGTCCTCCTGCACCAGGGCGAAGCGGTGCCCGGCCCCCGGCGCCCGGCACCGCAGCTCCACCCGCGTGCCCCGCCCGAGGCCCGGGGTGCTGGACTGGGCGGAGAGCGTGGGCGCCGGCAGCGAGCCTGCGGGGCGAGGGGGGACCGTGACCCTCCGTCCGACCCTCCGTCCGCCCGGGCCTCCCCGGGCCTCCCGGCTCCTCTGCTTGTCTGCAACCCGGCCGCCTGGCTCCGAGGCCGAGCCCGGACCCAGGAGCCCCAAGGTCACAGGGTCAGCTCCCCGAGGTCACAGGGTCAGCTCCCCGAGGTCACAGGTCAGTTCCCCGAGGTCACAGGGTCAGCTCCCCGAGGTCACAGGGTCAGCTCCCCGAGGTCACAGGTCAGCTCCCAGGCCCCATCCCCCGTTGGTCCCTGATTCTCTGTTCCCATGGATTTCTCTCCCACTCCCTTCTTCTCTGAGATCAATGACAATAGATTTAAAAATAAATAAAATGAAAGAGCCCTGGCCGGTGTGGCTCAGTGGATAAAGCACAGGCCTACGGACTGGAGGGTCTGGGGTTGGACTTTGGTCAAGGCCACATGCCAAGTTTGTGGGCTCGGTCCCCGATCAGGGGCGTGCAGGAGGCAGCCGGTCCATGATTCTCTCTCCTCATGGATGCTTCAGACCCTCTCTACCTTCCTGTCTAAAATCAATATATATATATATAATTATTGCAATATATATAATATATATTATTATTGCTTATTATTGCAATATACATATATATTACTGTATTATTATTATTATTATTATTATTATTATTATTATTATATATACAACCAGTTTGGCTCAGTGACTAGAGCATTGGCCTGCGGACTGAAA